GCGTTCAGAGCCTGGGCAATGCTGGTGAACTTGTGACCCGGTGGCGGGTCACGAGTCACTGAGTCAAACAGGTAAGTGTGCCACGCCTCCTGGGCAGCAAATGACATGAGGCCAATTTGGTCGAAGGCCAGCGCCCGTCGGGTGAAGGCCTCTCGAAGCCGAAGTTCTCCTCGAACGTCGCATTCCAGGTCGGAGTGTTTCTTCGATATCTTCAAGCCACCTTGAGCATCAAGTGTAACTTGTTGAGAAGGTTTGTCGCTGGAAATTTCCAACGCTCTTGATGGGCACTTATGCGGCGGTAGGTAGGTGAGCGTCCCGGAATCGACCATGGATTGGATCTTGTCGATGAGGCTGTGCGCCGGTTCCACCCGTTCGGTGAACACTATCGCGGTTAGCCGAGCCTTTTGATTCTGTAGGCGAGTCAAGCGCTCGGCCAAAGGAAGCTCTCGAGGCGGGTCAAGAGAAGAACGTTCCACCCGTGACTTGAGATCAGACAGGGCAAACGTGTTGGCCTCGAACCACAATCGTCGAAGATCAGGAAGCTCGCCCGGGGTGAGGTCACGAGACAAGAGCTTCTGTACCGCCTGAATGAGAGGGGGTGTCATCGCCGCTCTGCGGGCTGACAGCACAGATGTACGCCAGCTTTCCAAAGGTTTTGATCCCTGCGGCCTGAAGCGACTTGACGAAACCATCATCCATACCGATTTCTCGGGCTCTGGCCAAGAACTCGGCTTCCGACTCAAGCAGAGTGGAAGTCATGGCGTCCGTCCGAGGATCAGGCTTGAACAAAAACGTGTCACTCCAGGCGAAGGCTCACGACGGAGGCAGCAAGCATGGCTAAAACACAGATGCGCTGCATCGATGTTTGCGTCTCTGCTCGACCTTTCCGCGTCTAATCCCCCAGGACTCGCGCCAATCTGCACTGTTCGCAGAAGATGTCCTCGCGCGGCTGCTGGGGGTCGAAATTGCACGCATCATAGTTGCTGTTCAAGGGTCTCCCGCATCTCAACAGTGAGGCTGGGACCATGACAGCGTGCACAATGGATGAGATCCGATGTCGGACGAAGGTGCCCGTCTCTGGCGGCTCAGGGCGATCAGACGTCCCTGGCACCAGGCTGGGGCGCTCATCGATGCCGACGTGGTCTGCAAATGACACATCTGACTGTTCAGAATCATCAAACCTTTTCAGATCTTCGACCCGACGATCCTCATCGTGGAATCGTTCAACAAGGTTTGCCATCCTTTCAGACCGGGACAGGTCTGGATCAAACCTGTCTGTACGGATTAGGTCAATCAGATGCTGGAGCTTCGACAAGACTGGGGCCATCACGTCTCTCCCGTATGTGATGATCATACGCTCGTCGGGGGCGGAGTGGTGCCCCAGAATGCGCTTTTCATGCTTATCAAATCGACCGCTCTTTGTGGCCCATGACAACGGAGTGGATTTCAAGGCATGGGTCGTGACTCTGTCGAGGTTCCAAGACTCATCGGCATCGACCGCGAGAATCTCTTGAAGCCACGCACACCCTTCCGCTGAAGTCATGGGCCTATCCAACCACATCTCGGCTTGCTCCGACCACGCTGGCATAAGGATGTTTTTGGCGTCAACTCCTGATCGGGTTCGCGCTGACATCCATGCTGAGGCCCACGGCTCCGAAGAGAAGGTGTGCCCAAGGGCAATGAGGGGCATGAAAGTGGCCCGATCGTCTGCAAGCTTGGCTGTTTTGTGACCCAACATAACAGCCTCCACAAGACACATAGCTCCGTGGCTCTCGATGGTGAGATCGGTAGCCTTGGCCGCATCGGACCATCGGGCAACCGAGAACAAGCAGAACAGTGCGAACCCCGCTATGGTAGCGTGTAAGTCCGACCCCTCGAAGACAATCGCCTCCATTCTCATGACAATGGGAACCTTCAGAGGCGGCGCCTGTCTCAATGGAGCCTTCTTGAGATAGCAGGAGTGCGCGGCACCCTCATTCGCTGCGAAATGATGTCAGGGACAGCGTTGCTGCCGGTCATGTAGTGAAAGAACCTCCAAGACGAAATGAATGCAGCGGGCGCCGTGGGAGCACACTCAGTGTCTCGCAGATAACAAACATAGAGGTACAGGTCATTCTCAACAGCATTCAAAGGTCTAGCATGATTGTCCTGGACCTGCCAGCGGGAGAACCTCAAGTAATCACATGACCTCTTGGAAAGAGTACTCGTAGACTTCCTGGCAAAGGCATCCATGAAGGTCATGGCAAGTTGGTGTTCAGGAACAAGCATTCCACTGGTCTCCAACAATGACCGCCCCAGCTTAGAGTCATTGGGATCGTACAGGACGATCTCCTTAATCCGGGCCAGCGCAGCCGAACGAAGCTGATCCTCCGACCTCGCCATCCTCGTGGCGAAAAGTCGTCTGGCTCTAAAGGGGTTTTCTTTGTACCAAGTTGGATCAGAACCTGAAGACGAAGACACCGCAATCTGAGCAAACATGTCTGATCGCCCAATCGTGGGGAGATGGAATGGGATGGCCACGAGAGGATTCCCGACGCTCCCAAAAATTGATTTGCCAAAACCCGACTCCCAAGGGAGTCTGATCGAAGACTTCCTCTTCTCCTCAAAGAGAGCCTGTGCCACTGCCGGGTGCACAGGTGCAGGATCTTTCCAAGCGGTCCTCCTACACTTGCTCGCACTCGGCTGGCACGGCTCAGCCGAATCGTCGACCCTTGCATCCTGATACCAACGAACCTCATCTGATGCCACCGGCTCCACATGCGACCATGACTCATCTCTCTCACCCTCTCCAAAATTAGACCCTACACCAAAGTCAGAGTTCCACGGTGAGCTCGCATGATCCTTGCGATCGGAGTCGTCCTGATCGAACGGTTCCTCGTCATGGCCAAAGCCCTGTGAAGCATCAGGTCTACCAAACATGGCTGTGCTCGGACAAAACTGCTAATCTGTGTCAGTTGCAACAGGCATCAGTCTGAGTCATCGCAACATGTCCCAACATGGAGAGCACAAGGATCAATCGGGAAAATCTTATTTTATATCACTGGTTTGCCAAAAGATTCGCGGTCCTTCTTGGCCTTTCCTGTCCCCCGCATACAGTCAAGAAGACCGCGCACAGGAGCAAAACGCGGGGAAGGCCTAAACCACAAAGAAGCCAGGGGACCGGGAAACAGAGGGGCATCCGGCACCTAGGGGCGTAACCTAAAGAAGCGCCTCAGACGAATATGAGTAGTGCGCGCGGCCGCCAGCAGTGCAATCCAGGCCTGCATGTCCAGGTACACAAGGGCCCAAGCGAAGCGGTAGCTGGCAGTGAAGGAGACCAGATGTCCTCGCGCGATAGCATTCCAGAAAGGTCGACGACAAGCTGCAAAGCGTCGCAACCGGACAATGTGGAAGAAGTAGGGGCGCACTCGCACAATGACAAATGCAGTCGGATCCCCAGAGCTGTCAGTCGGCAAAGAAGAACCCGAACCGGAAGTCGAAATGGAGTCATATGAAGATCCCCGAAGGCTGGAATCAGCCCGAGGCCGCGGCACATCCATCGGAGGCTGATCGCAAAAGGACAAGGCAGTTCTACAGAAAGCAGGATACTGCTTGATTTCATGAGCGTGACATGACATGAGTGTGAGAAATCTACCCCGACTCCGCGTCTCAGCCGAAGGCCGGCACGGGCAAGATAGAATTCGCATGCCACAAGGGGTCGGGCTAGGGGCTGCAAGCAGAACAAGGCATCCGCGCGAAGCTAAGACGACTCTTGCCTGAATGTCGGGACTCCCAAAGCCAAGTCGATCACTCGAGGGGCATGAAGTGAACTCGCTGCATGCGGGAAGAACTCACGCAAGCACGGATTGGTTTTGAAGCTCGCTGATCAGCGGTGATCTGAAACACTGTGGCCTACAAAACTGAAGTGCTAGCACCTTCGAGGATCCAGCACGCCCACAAAGACTAGGGCCGAAGCCTCATGAGATCCGTCGGAAGAAACCAGGAGGCCACCAAAGGAGACCATCACGATCCACGGCTGCAAGAGGCAACCAGCTCAATCTCGGGGCACAAAAGGAATCAAACATCACGCTGACGGCGCAAAGAAGCAGCAAAGCGGCGAGTGAACTTGCCCGCAATACCAGATGAAGAGTGCGTCGGGAATTTCTCAGAGCAAAAGCCTCAAGGCTCTCAGCATGATAAAGTCGCTGACCTCCAGATCGCAGGTGGATGGAGAGGCCGATAACATGCCATGCGGGCCAGATACTGTTTGCCTCCTGGCAGGTCGCCGCAGCCGAGTTAAGTAGGGACCCAAGCGGCAGATCGCTAGCCCAAGAAGTGTGGCTTGTCACAATACCGTCCATCACGATCTGAGCCTCACCAGTAAGAGGGGGAGCGAACTGCTCCCTAGCCTTGAGCTCGGACGCCCAAGCTCTCCCGAGAGCTTCAGCCTCCGGATTAGGAGACTCGCATGCAACAAGCTCACCGGAGTCATCGGCAGCTGGGTCGGCAGCACCTCCAGGAAACAGGTCGGACAGACGATGATCATTGTTATCGCTGTCCGATGAGACATGGCTGCGCGCAGCGGCAGCTGGCCGAGCGGAGTCCGACATGGAGCCGATGGAGCTAGACTTCTAGGATGCGAGCCTGCAGCCCCACACTTTACAGCCCCAAGGACTCAAAACTAAAAATTTCAAGCTTGATGCCCGACTTCGGATGTAGTCGCTTCACACAATTCCATGCGTGCATGAAAGTGCAAAGCATGTAAATTGAAAAGGTCGAAACACAAATGAAATATCTCAAACTGTGTGACGACAAATTGAAGAAATGTTTTCTCGAGCTACCGCGAGGTGAAACATACAGTTCAGGGTTCGCTACGTGACTACGCCCCACACAACAGACAGAAGTATCCGCCCGCAGACACTAGACGAAATAAGTGGATCGCAGAAATCCCCCGTTTGCAGCGGCGGGCCCTCGCACTCGGCTGGCAGCGTCACTCGCGAGGGCGGCGAAGCCAGAAGTAATCAGGCGCCGCCCTTGGTGCAAGCGGTGTAAGAGTGAGGCTTGAAGCACTTCCAGCAGATGTGTTTGCCACGGCGGCAACGCTTGTCCTTAGCAAATTTGCAACCATCCTTGTTGTACGGGAAACAAAAATCGGAACACCTTCGGGATCTTTGCTGGAACAGCCATCGGGCAGCACATATGACATAGGCAGGAGGAGGCTGCGGCACTTCCGAACCCTGATTCTGCTTGCCGCGGGTCTTGCCCTTGCCATCCTTGCCTTTGCCTGTTTTACCCTTCTTACCTTTAAATCCTTTACCCCCCGGAATCCAGGTTTCGTAAGGCTCGACCCTGTACGGAGTGGCAGGGCTCGCGGCTCCAGGAATCACACAGAATTGCACTTGGGGTTGAGCCTTAAGGGCGAGAAGCTGCAGCTCCATCGGCTTGGAGCCGTCCGGCCGCACGCTAAGGGCACCTCTGGTTTCTTCTGCAATTTTGAGGAAAAGGACCTTGTCAGCCTCCTTGACCTGCCCCATGGTGATGCACATGCGGCCCGGCACTGGCGGGCGCGAGAGAAGAGAAAACATCTCTTCGTGGTAGGCTTCCATCACTGAATAAGCACAGAGTTGCGCCAGATCGTAGCACAAGGATCTGCGCTGGAGAGCTTGACGCACCTGCAATTCACCGGTCAAAGAACACTGGGCATCCTGGAACTTTTTGTTCAAGCGCAGATTTCCACTGTTGTCAAAGCTGATGGATAAGTCCGATTTGCTCGAAACGATCTCTTGTGCCCTGCTGGTGTATTTCTCCCAAGGAAGCCAGATGAGCTGTTGGTCGGTTCCTTGCTGAAACACAAGATCTGTCACGCGATAGCTTGGCTCGCTGTCACTGGAGAAGTGAACCCCGTTGAGGCGCCTGCGTTGTTCCTCGATTCGCGTAGTCCTCTCAGCGACAGCCAAGCGGATCGGTTCTGCTGAGTCGCTTCTTTCCACCTTCTGTTTGAGCTCTCCCATTGCTGTGGTAGAGGCTTCGTACCATAGCCGCCTCGTCACGAAAAGCTCTTTCTTTTTGCTGTAGAAAAACTCTTATTCTTGTTCCCAAAAACCGCGCATGTCAATCAAATCGCAACGGAGATATTCACATCAATATGTGAAATCATAAAAGTATATATTGAATCGCCGGGAAGTCAATCAAATATCTTTGCATATGAATATGGTGCAAACACTCGCGCTCGGGCAATCTTTTACGACGATACTCGAAGTCAAGGGGTGATGAATTCACTAAGTTGGCACGCCGCAAATACGGCAGTGCCCCACTGAGCCCACGTGTGGGACCTCACACCACACACACATTACACCGCCGAGCTGAAAGCCTCGAACGGTGGCACGTCACCCCCAAGGGAGGGCGGGTGGGCAAAACAAAACCAAGCCATATGGCCTTGAAAGTTGCTAGGGTTTCCCACCTCCCACCTCAGCCAAGAAGGCTTCGTGGGAACAAGTGTATGGCGAAACAACGATTGACATGCAGACAGAAAATTTTCGCACCCAAAATTTTCCAAAAGGTTTTTGGGCAAGAATAAAGACTAATCAATCACGATTGAAAGTTGTCTTATTCTTGTTCCCAAAAACCGCGCATGTCAATCAAATCGCAACGGAGATATTCACATCAATATGTGAAATCATAAAAGTATATATTGAATCGCCGGGAAGTCAATCAAATATCTTTGCATATGAATATGGTGCAAACACTCGCGCTCGGGCAATCTTTTACGACGATACTCGAAGTCAAGGGGTGATGAATTCACTAAGTTGGCACGCCGCAAATACGGCAGTGCCCCACTGAGCCCACGTGTGGGACCTCACACCACACACACATTACACCGCCGAGCTGAAAGCCTCGAACGGTGGCACGTCACCCCCTGCTTCAGCCACCCGTGCGAGGCGCACATAATCAATGGGAGTTCTCGCTCCCCACTCTTCTTTAGAGACTCCCCGCGAAGGAAAATCAGCTATGTTGGAAGCTGTGTTGACACGCTCAAACCACGGAGCAATGCAACCTTCGTCAAGTAGGTTATGCGTAGCAGAAACGATACGGCCACCAGAATCATTCTCGCTGCGACCATTGATCATCGAGTGCAAAGCTCCCTCGTTGTCAGTGAATACAATAAGATGGCAGTGGCGAAGCAAGCGTGCCCAAGCGGAAATGCCACACCAGATAGCGAAACACTCCAACTCGAAGATCGGATTCTCGCTCCCAGTTGTATTCAACGATGTCAAAGCTGCATCGTCGAGGAATTCACTGAAGTGGCCGATGTAGGCCCCCGACTCTGAGATCAAGATGCCACCAATACCAGCCCGCGAATCATCGTATGAAGCGTCGACATAGAGGTGCCAGGTGAAGCACGATCGATCCGCAATGCAGCGAGCTGGAGCACAAGCAATGTGGTTTTTAAGGGTGGTCAGGGCGGCCATGGTTTCGGGTACCAACTTGCCGCCCCCTTTCGTCACATGCCTCGAGAGTTCCTTAAAGGCCAATCCAGCCTTTTTGCCAGAAATCTGCTGCTCTGCGAACTGTAGCCTGCCACGTAGTCGCTCGCCGTCCTTGCGGCTAAGGAACCCCGCAGAAAGGACATCGCCGAGAGTGGACACCAGCTCATCTCGCCTCTTCTCGGTATTCTCAAAGTAGACGAAGCCGATTCCAGATTCGGAGAGATTGATCTTCAGGCCAAGTACAATCGAAATGGAATCAAAAACCGAAGCTTTGTCAGATGATGTAGCCCAGCCCAATATCAGGAACAACCCGTCTGCGCAGAGTTCGAACAGCTTGGACAGGTGGGGTGTTTCGGATCCCAAGAAGTCGTCGAAGTATACCCCCCAGTGCAGGAGGAACAACACCACCCCTATGTTCCAAATCCCCAGCGAAGTTCTGCAAAAAGAATGTACGCTGGATCTGGCACCAAATGGCAACACCAGTTGGCCATAGATCTCAGTCTTACGTGTATGTGGGTTCCATACGGCCAGGAAAGCATCAGGGACTGATTCAGGGTGGAGCGCAAGATTCTTGTATGCTTTGGCAAGATCCCACGACCTGGAATACAAGCTTGCTGGCAGTCGCTTTGATCGGAGCTTGTGGATGCGGTATGACAAGGCGGCAGCGAGCACATCGGCCGAGTGGACAGTGATGGTGTCCGCAGCGCTAGTTGTCGCGTTGACACCTGATTCCAAGTAATTGTCGATGGGTCTGCACTTTCCTCCTTGACGTATGCCGAATCTACGGGTAACCACTGCCTCAGAAGGGAGGTCCTTCTCTGGCACAGGTCCGAAAAGCCACCCTCGATGAAGCTCATCACGAGTAGCTTCGAATGTTGCACAATCAAGCTCAAAGTCGCCTGATCCCTTAGTTGAGTGTATGATTCCTTTCCGAAGCACCTGTGCTGATCTTCTCAACGTCGCCGTGGTGAGGGTCGCCGAAGTTCTTTTTGACCTGTAAACCCCAGATGGCGGTATGGGACCGCTAAGCTTGAAACCTTCGGCAATGTCGCCGACTATCGAATCATCCTTGTGACCACTGGCTTCAAGCATTTCTTTGAAGACCACCAAGCGTTTACTCCGAAGGACTTTTGCACAAGATTCGCTCATCCGCTGCTTGATCAACTTTTCCATCGGCTCAACCTCCTGTACCCTCGCAACCCACTTCCTAAGCTGGGCCGTCCTCTCGGCTCCAACCTCAAATGGGCTAAGGGTTACAAGCTGATCGATTGTGGATTTTAGTTCGGATGGGATGCCTGTCATCAAGTGCCTCGGGTGCGTAGCCTCCAGGGCTTTACCGATGAACTCTTCGGGTAACCATGGGATGCCTACTACAACCCTATGCCAATGGGACTCCTCGGGCCCTGCCGGTGAGGAGTGTTCCTCGTTGGGGAGAGGCTGCACAAAGGGTTCATCCGGCATGTTGAACTCACAAGCAACAAGGTTACTCACTAAGTCCGATGGCATCAACTCGGGACCCTTCACGACAAACCCTATAAGAACCACACGGGGCCCCTTGACCCACGGGAGTGTGCAATGCTTCAGATGCGAATCGAACCTGATAACTCCGTTTTCGAAGTCGACCTTCGTTCCCATCAGCTGCCCAAAATTTGCATCAGGGCAAGGCATGTCGCCGTGATCGTTGTGAACCCACAAACCCCCTTCCTCGAAATTGGTGACCTTCGCCACAGTGTTCAGGTAGGGTAATGAATTGTTCGTGTCGATGTGTAATGTTGTTTGCACATCCCTCATCAAAGCCAGGCTCGTGAAAACAGCGTCTGGGCACTGCTGGCGCATGAACCTTGCAAGGACCTGAGTTGTCAGCGGAAAGTTAACCGAAGAAGTTCTAAGCCCATAAATACCGCCATGAACAAAGGATCCCACCGTGAAGGAAAATTCGTGCTGACCTCCATCCCCCCTGGCCGGAAGCTCCGACTCAAGAAGTTGAGTGAACTCGGAAATTTTTCCCGGGTCGATATACCCCAGCTTTAGGCACGATGCAGCAAAAGCCTCTGCGGGATGAGTGGCTTCAGAACACACTTGCACTCGATCAGGCTTGGGCTTGCTTACTTCAGGAAAAGAAGCAACACGGCCGCTAGTGGGATTGCTAGTTTCCGACCCTACATCGAGCTTCAAAGCAGGCGAACTCACCCCCAGCAACTGCCTGCGAATGACGCGAGAGCCTGCCGGTAGCACAGTCAACGTAGTATCACACTTGGCACCCGCAGGGATGGGAATTGGCCCCTCAAGTTTCTTGGAAGCTGTGTCAAGAAAAGGCTTGGGCGTGTCAATTGTCGCCACGCAGCGAAATTCACTAACAAGAGGAGGCACCTTCTTGCGTGTTGGCTGTGAAGCCGCTGCCACCTGGGCTTCACGGTGTAGGGGAGCTCGAGACTCATCCAAGGAGCGCGCACGAGGCAGGGCGCCCAAAGCAACAAGTTGCTCCACAATTGCATTTGCCCACGCACGACTGAGATCTAGGGGGAATGTGGAGTCATGGAGCGCGTTTCGGGACTCATGCGTGTGGCTGGAGCTTACACCGCAACAACGAACACCCAGCTGCGTTAGCGAAGGCACAGAATGAACAATGCGTGTGAAACGAGGGCTGAGAGATCCCCACATGCACATGTGAAAAACAGTATCAATGGAATTCAAACACAACGTATGCTTGCACCACTGTGGCGTTCGCCACAGCTCTGACTGTCCAGGGTTTTCGCAAGAAAAGAGAATGCCTTTGGACCAGCACATGCTAAAGAGCTTCCCGCAGAACTCGTACAACAAGTTACACGAGGCTGAATAGCACGAAGCATCGGCACCATCACGGTGCTTCAAACTGCGATGTTTCTGGTTCAAGGCAGGGGGAGAAACATGAACGTAGGCACAATTGGGATTTTCTAGCATTTGCACGACAAGCTCGCGCGCCTGCTCGTCACCAAGGTCGAGACGCAACACCGGTGCGATCAAGCATCGGCCGACATTCTTGTCAACACCAATACTATCATTAAGCCCCAGCCTGCGGAGCTCGCAAGTCAAGCGACCAGACCCTGCAAAAACTTCAACTCCAAAGAGTGCCTCGATCGAAACACCAGTTACCCGAGCCCTAGCCCGGTTAAGGAAAACCTCCAGTGATTCAATCAAGTCACAACCTGCGTTCTGAAAAGTTCACCCACTGGTAACCTTTGCATGATTGACGATCGAGTGGGGTTTTTGACAGTTAGGTTCAGCGCAAAGGTGGACACCCCTCGGGCATCTGCCTCCAGCTGGAGCTGAGCTACAGCCCTCTTCCGTGTTGAAGGCCCAGCATATCGGAACACCGCGTTTGGTTCGCGACCACTTGTCTTTGAGGGACACAGGCATAGACTTAGGAAAGGCTTTGGTTTTGGTTTTACCCTTCCCTTTACCCTTGCCTCCAGTCCTCTGGATCTTCGAATCGTTGTTCTGGCCCTGATCGCCATCCATCGAACGCTTCCCGGATGATGAAGCAGAAGGTCCCAGAGGTAAGAGATGAAAAGCCACTTTCGGGTCGCCCTGCAATTTCGGGAGCTCGATATCCAGCGGGAGTTTCCCATCGGGACCAGCACGAAGCCCTTTAGGAAGTTTCTCCGCGAGTCGCAACCAAGCGGCTCGGTCAGCTGCTAGAACCTGATGCAGTGTGACTTGATGATAGCCAGGCGGTGGCTCCATGGTAAGGTGTGACATCAAGTACTCGTGAAATTCCATGCTCACACTGTAGCTGGCTACCCCAACGAGATCCATTGCAAGTGCCCGTCGATGAAGAGCATGATGCAGGCACAGCGGCGTGTGAAGCTGGCATTGAAGATCGACTGCCTGGTCCTTCAAAGTGATTTTTGAGTTGACCACATCAAGCTCCTTTCGAGGTTTCTCCAGACGAAGTTCGGCCTGCCGAGACGGAAACCTAGCTGGAGACAAGTAGGAGACACAGTTCTCCTGGACCATCTTCATGACCAAATCATATGACCCATAGGAGCATTCTGACTCGTTGCGGAGTGCAACACCGGCCAGGCGCTCGCTCTGCTTCTGGATTCGCTCCGATCTTTCTGCGGGTGCTAATTCCGCCTTTTGGTCATCGGCACGATGCTCGATCAGCATCTTCACCTGCGCGGTCATGAGGAGCTGCGCTTCAAACACCAACCGCCTCAAGGAGGCTAGGGTCGCTATTGGAACTTCCTCTGTGCCGGATCTCGCCAGGCCGGTAAGCACTGCATCACTCGGTGTTTCCCCCGGCTGCCCCGCTGCGAATGCGAGACCTGCCAAGGTACTGAGATTCTTGCCAACCAAGATGTCCCGAATCGGCTTTGGCAATCCGGCCGTCTCACATCTTTCCAAGAACACGGCCTTGGACTCTGTCAGTGGAACCGCCATGCCGACACACTACTGCTGGTCTTTTTGCGCATAAGACGGCTCTATTCATTCAGCTGGCTGCTGCCCACAAGTCGTAATCACACATGGGTGACCAACGTGTCATCCCCACGTTCCACACACCTTTTGGGCTCAATTCGGTACTCACGCCAGTCAAGGATTCCTGTCATGTGATTGCACTCGTCCTCAGGACGACGTGCAGGCCCGTAGCCACCACACGACGGTAAGCAGACTTTTAGCCACCACATCGGTTTGCACAAGTTCGCGAGTGCAGGCACAAAGTGCAGTGCAGGCCCGAAGCCCTCGCCCAGCCCATCACAAAGTAGACGATACTAAACTGCGAGCGCAAGCACAATGTGCTGTGCAGGCCCGAAGCCCTCGCCCAACCTTCGCAAATCCGATTTGCACAAGTTCGCGAGCGCAGGCACACTGTGCGATGCAGGCCCGGAGCCCTCGCGCAATTTTCCCATCACATGTTCTCCAAAACTGCGAGTGCACGCGCAAAGCGCTGTGCTGGCCCATAGCCCTCGCCATCCTCAATGAAGACCACTAGGTCCTGCACTCTTGGGATTGGCAACTTTGCTCAGGTATGCGACGACAGCTTTCGTGTCCCTGAGCGGTCGAGCCTGCTCACACTGCTTACACATCCAAAACTTGCTGTATACCCTACTTGTAAAAATCTTCATTCCCTCAGCTTTGCGGCCACACATAAGTGGGCCATCGGAACCCTTCGCCCGGGTATGGAGGGAAAGAGTTTTGGGGTTCTGGAAAACATCCAAGTCCACCTCTTTGTTCAAGTGAGGCACAGCACAATCAAGGGCAGCATCACTGGCGAAACTCTCATAAGCTTCGGCATGGTCATCAGAGGAACCTGAAGAACTAGAGGTACTCGAGTCGGAATCCTCAGCATCCTGCTCAGGCTCAGCATCACAATTGTCAGCTGGCTTTCCTTCCTCGAGCAAGGGCTCGTGTTCACTGCGACATCGCCTCCAGTGTCAATGATTTCATCAGGATCGCCAAACCGGAACTGTTCAGCAGCGAGAATGAGAGGGTCTGTAACCTCAGCCTTTGATTCATGACTGCTCTCGCCTGATTTGAACATGCCACTTCGAGTCGAGTCCGGAGCAAACACATTACGCTTGATGAGACGAATGCAATCTTGTAGCTCGCGTAATGGTTTGGCTTGCACGTCTCTGCCGTATGTGTAAAGAGTTTTCTTCCCCGCTCTCGCGTGATGCCCCAAAATGAGGCAAGACTTTTCGGGATACCCGGCCTTCGTCATCCAGGAGAGGGTTGTTGCCTTTAATCCATGGGATGTTAGCCCTGACGCAATCTGCTCACTCATAGCGCGATTCAACAGACCGTTGAGCCACGATGTAGTCTCATCAGACCCGATCGCCTCCCCTGACCATTGACCCTCGGCAGTAAGTCTAGGTAATAAAGGTCCACGATGCCCCTGTCGAAGGTTAAACCCAACCATCTTTGCAACCTCGATGAACTGGATACCCCAAGCCTTATCCCGCAGGCCCTGAACCGGAGCAACGAGAATCAAGCTCTGCCCCAGCCCACGTCCTCTGGTCGCATTCTTGTGGTCCATCGTTTTCGCCTCAAGGTATCCGTCATCTCCACTCAGGTCGAGCTCAAAGCGCTGGATGTTCCTGATGTCGGACACTCGTGCCCGGCTGTAAATCTGGAAGAGAAAAACTCCTGCACCATATCGATCAACAGGATCAAGGGATGCATCACTGAGCATATCTTCGAGCGCCATAACTTCCCGGACAGTGAGTACCCTGGACTGCTTGATCTCTTTCCCTGTTGACCGAGACCCCCGTAGAAGCCCTTGGATTACAGGATGCTTCAAAATATCCAGATCGGCATGCACACCAAGGACATGCACAAGGAAATTGATTGTCTCTCCACACTGGGCCTTGGCACTCTCTGATGTCAAACTGCGCATGAATGAAAGCAATGGTCCAAGCCGCAGCGGAAAGAACGTCTGACTATGCTCAGACGCCCACGTAAGCATCCGGGCGACAAACCTGGCTCTCTTAAGCAAGGTGCTCGTACTTTTCCCTCCAAAGGTGTCCGCAATCAAAACAAGAGGGTCTTCGGCACCATCAGCAATGTACTCTCCAATCTTAGAGCCAGCAAGATTGTGGCCCAAGATACAAAGCCAGCGCCTGTAGACGGCATCTCGATCTGTCCCGGGTCTCCCGCCAGCAGCAATAGTTGATTTATGCAGACAGTGCTTGTAGACTGCACTCTCGAATTTTGGCAGAGGATCTGATGTCTGCTTCAAGGCTTCGCTGTGCTGGGTCCCAGGTCTTGCAACATCTACGACTGGAAGTGTAGCAGGCACAGGTAAAGTAGGCATCCTAGGCAGCTCGCTACCACTGAAAATCTCGGCATAAATGCCCTTCTCCCAGGGTAACTTCAAGGTAGCCTGACCCGCAAGCTGCACACTTGCTTCACTCAATGCCCGCTCATACAAGCGCCCCAAGTCGCTCGTAGGCTCGTCCAGCCGTGGGAACTTTGATCTGCCAGAGTCAGCCATGGCTCAATTCGCAGGCTGACTTGGTTTCTTAACACACACACCCCTAGCAACAAAACAAAACCAAGCCATATGGCCTTGAAAGTTGCTAGGGTTTCCCACCTCCCACCTCAGCCAAGAAGGCTTCGTGGGAACAAGTGTATGGCGAAACAACGATTGACATGCAGACAGCAAATTTTCGCACCCAAAATTTTCCAAAAGGTTTTTGGGCAAGAATAAAGACTAATCAATCACGATTGAAAGTTGTCAAAATCCAAATTCAAGCGAATATAAGTTGCACTCACTCCGTAAGTATAAAAGTCAATCAACTCATATCGTATCGCATCACTCGGACCCTTCTTTTCTTTCAGGGGGCGCACCGGGTTGCCCGGCCTCCGCGGGCTAGGCGCACTGCCAACATGCCGTTCGCATGTTGGGCAAACGTAGAGCACAGCCTACGGAGTAGGGCACAACTGGAATCGCAAGATCGGCCCCAAGCGATCTGAAGTCTCGACGGGTGTGGTGGGAGGGTAGTCGAGACCCATCTCCCACTCTTGAGCAGCAATGTAACACGACGTGGACATTTCACATGCTCTTCAAGGAAATTTCTTCACTCAAGAAATCACTGCTCGAAAATACATTGCTTAAAGTGGGAGAGGCAGCACACGGGTTAGGGCATTAAGGTTTTTGAGTTTTCTTCGCTCGCCGCCACGGCGGCTCGTCACGAACGCAAAAAGGTACTAGCTGTCGTCGCAGGCTAGACAGCAAAGGTACTTTTTGCTGTAGAAAAACTCAAAACCCAAATTCAAGCGAATATAAGTTGCACTCACTCCGTAAGTATAAAAGTCAATCAACTCATATCGTATCGCATCACTCGGACCCTTCTTTTCTTTCAGGGGGCGCACCGGGTTGCCCGGCCTCCCCAGAAAGTAGCAACACGGTACGTTCCCACTCAAGACCAGAGATTACAAGTCGACCAGCGGGATGCCCGAGATGGGGCATGAGCACTTAACTCGTAATGCACCCGAATCAACAAGTGCTCTGAACTCACCGCGTGACGGGTCGTCTGAAGGATTGGATGCGGAAGGGACCCTTGTCCAGTATGTCCACGATGGACCATGTTTCTCACAGCATTCCCATGTGAGAAGCAGCTCTCGAAAGTGATCACTGTTAGACGTTCCTCGCACAAAGCTGAGAAGGACAGCGTCGTTGTCAACGAAGAAAAGGCAATACTGTCCAGACATGTACTGGTGGAAAGCCTTGCGTGCCAGGGCGACAGCGTACGCCTCAACGGGTCCGATAATATGCTTCAGATGCTGCCTCCATCGGTCTGCCAAGGCACAAGGAACTTCACAAGAAAAGAATCGGGGCCGCACATCAGAAGGAGAGTAAAGAATACCTCCAACGGTGTTGCCAGACTGTTCGCTTGCTCCGTCCGTGAAGATCAAAACAGGCTTAGGGGCAACCACACAAGGGACTACCCTAGGGGAACCGAAAGAGAGGCGATCAATGAGAAACTCGAAAGCCTCGATCTCGCGGGGACCCAGAACAAACCGGGAGGCGTGGCGTGTGGAAGCGGCTCTCAGCTCCGCCAATGCGAGCTTTCCGGTTCTCCCCATGACTTGCGCATCGGAGAACTGGACACGACCTGCAACCCTGGCAAAAGTACGCATCTTGATGCAACCTTCACTGATGCATTCACGGATGGCATCACACACCTCACTGGATCGGCCTTCCTTGTTCCTAATCCGAATGACACCTTCCCTGGCTCCTTTCAAGTCAATCTCGACCCCAAGCATGGAGGCGACGTCTGCAAATGGGTTCAGTTTGTCAAGGGATGCGGAAAAACCAAGCACTGAGGACAACACAAGCAAGGTGTCCATGGTGGAACCTGAAAGACAGCACGGGCTCATCACTGGATAATCGTCAACGAAGTTGGCCCAGAACAGGAAGACTTCCAAACCTATCCGCCACAGCAACCTAGACAACCTGTTGAAGTGGAGCACGGACGATGTGCTTCCAAAAGGCAAAGCCTTACCCTCAAACAGTCCCAAGTCGCCATTATCCGGATTGAGAAGGGCAACGACGGAGAAGGCACGATGGCTCGGGTTCAACGCAAATTGGCGATAAGCATTCTTCAAATCAAAGGTGCACAGCTCAGGACACCACGACGAGCCCGCCCAAGCAGGGTGTACTCGACCAACCAACGGTGGTCCGCTGGCCATGTCCAGAAAGAATTGATGCTCCGTCGTGTGAGCTCGGATCCAAAAGCGACTTATTTTCCAACGAAACTTCCGTTAGCGCGCGTTTGGGGAACCCTAACTGCGCTGCAGAGAGAACCCTGTGCAAAACACTCTCTTTTTTTACTCCTAGCGGACATGGGGGGTCGGTTCGGGCCCGATCTTCGGGCTCTGACGAAACGATGCCACTGGCATTTCAAACCAAAACTCGACCGCTGGTCGATGGTAAGGCGAACGACTGGTTCACCCCCCCTACCAGGGAATAACCCGTACCACGGGGAGATAAAGTGAAACATGCTAGGACCTACTGGGTCACTGCAGCTACCAGTTGCTACTCTGTAGTTGCACGGCCTACGGCCTATGTACAAAATCGCACTCTGTGCTGAAGTCTCTCCGCGGGAGAGAGCATAGGAGCGCTGCTCCTGGCAGCTCTGCTGCCGAAGCGGTGTCCCGGACCCCGCATACTATACAGGGTGTGGTGGGTGGGACAAAAACTTTTTGGATCACAGATCCAACTCCAAGCCGAAAGCTGCACGGCAAAGTTTGTCTAGTGTCACTCACACACAAGTGAAAACACTGTTTTCCTTTTTCGACAAACTTTGTCTACACTTTCGGCGGAAAATAAAACCCATTCACGCACGCATGATGGATGCTTATTTTCCAACGAAACTTCCGTTAGCGCGCGTTTGGGGAACCCTAACTGCGCTGCAGAGAGAACCCTGTGCAAAACACTCTCTTTTTTTACTCCTAGCGGACATGGGGGGTCGGTTCGGGCCCGATCTTCGGGCTCTGACGAAACGATGCCACTGGCATTTCAAACCAAAACTCGACCGCTGGTCGATGGTAAGGCGAACGACTGGTTCACCCCCCTTGAAGGCACTCGAAGCCTTACTCACCCCCCATCTAGTCCGCGCCGAGTGACAAAGCCAACGACACTGCGTTGGGCGGCAGGAATTGGCGCGCTGCGCCAAGCCGCTCTGTCTCTTCCCACCAGTCTCTGCTGGGGCCATCAGCTATATTGCTGTCTGTGGGGACTCGAAAGAAAGCAGCCCTGCACTGCAGGGATTCTTCGAAGTCCACCGCTTGCGAAACTATCGCCGCTCCTTCCACCTTGCGTGTGAAGGCCTTGTGCAAGGAGGTACGCGCTGCGTCGTTGTCTATCCAGACGAACAGGTCGCTGCCTGCTATATGCTTAGCCCACATTTGGAGGCTGAGCAAGTAGGGCAACAGCTCGCACTCGTAGACGAGCTGCTGCTTCTGCGCCCTGGCGGCCCACTGGGCTGTGACTTGGCTGCTGATCTGCAGCCCCCAGGTGAAGGCGATGCCTTCTCCAATGAGCACTGCTCCGAGGCCACACTTGGGCACGAGTCTCGGGGTCTCCCATTCGCAGGCCCCGTCGATGTACAGGTGCACTTTCCGGCGTGCATGGATGGACACTGTCCTGGGCGGTCCGTGCACGACTCTTTGCAGCAGGAACGCCATGGCTTGGCATTGCTGCTCTGTTAGGGGGACTTGCTCTGGTCCATCCCCAAGGACGTCGCCTACGCAGATCACTGCCATGCGAGTGTTACGACCCCAGGCTTGCTGCTCTTAAGATGAGCCTGCCGCGCAGCGCAGGCTCTGCGCTTCCAAGGGGGACATGCTGCCGCGGGCGAGGGCCTCGCTGAGGACCAACCCCAGCTCTGCTGCACGGGTTGGCTTGTTGCTCACTGAGATTTCTCCGAGGTGCTGCTTGGACAAGTCCACTCGCACGCCTAGCACGTCAAAAACTTCGCTGAAGTCTGCGTTCTTTTTGGGCTCTGTGGCCACTTGCCATCCCAGCTTGTGAAAAAGGTTGGACACTGCCAACGTGACGAGCTTTGAATGCGCGCTGCGCGTAAGGACGGTGAAGTCGTCAAAGAAGCTTGTCATGACTAAAGCAAGCTTTTCGCGGCCGATGGCTTTGAGCGCTTCGCTGCAGCGGAGGAAAGCGTGCACGGCGGCCACTGCGCCGAAAGGCATGCTATGTAGGTGGGCGATTTTCACCTTCCCACTCTGTGGGTCCAGCATGACGATGCACGCGAATTTCTTGTGTGCGGCCTGCACTGCAAGCTGCTTGTAGGCACTCTTGAGGTCCCAGGTCCTGCCTACAATGCGGTGGGCCCGCTCTGCGGGAACACCTTGGCGCAGCCACTCAAGGCACACTGCAAGAAGCTCGTCGATGCTATCGACTTGGACCTTCTCTGTGGTCCCACAGCAGCTGTTGATGAAGCTGCTTTTGAAGTTATCAATGGGGCGCACTTTGCCCTTTTGAACGACGCCGAAGCGGGACGATACTATCGTCTCGTGCAGCTGCTCTGGCGAAAAGTCCTCCAAAGAAAGCCAGCCCTGCTGGCCTTCCTCTATCGTGCTTTCCCAGACCCTGTCCGAGACCCCGTCTTGCGAGGGGCGCAGAGCGCTGCGAACACCTCGCATACTGATGCTCTGGGCGTTTTCCAGTAGTGACTTCTCGTCTAGAGAAGGGGGCAGAATCTGCACTGGCCACAACCCACTGGGTTGTATCCAGCCAAGCAGGGGAAAGCCTTCTCGCACCTGCTGGGCCAACGTCTTGTCCGGGAAGTCGATTTCGGCCAGAAGCTTTGCTAAAGCTACTGTCTGCTTGGGCTTGGTGACGCTGTTCACCTGAGCGTCAATCGACGAACGTACCGCGGTCTCGAGGGCTTGGCACTCTGTGCAAGTTCGAGAGATATGCATCGATGCCAACGTGCGGCGCTTGGCCAGCAGGACAGTGTCTTCGTGGACTTCGGCAGCAATGGCGCGCTTAAGGGATAGAGGCACTGCCTCAATGTCCCTGGCTGGGTGATCGATCAGGTGCGCTCTGCGCACCCAGTGTAGAGGCTGCAGCGGGATGGCGACGATGGCTTTCTGAGAGGCTTCAATCCACTGGATGAGCCTAGAGCCTTTTGGGAAGCAGGTCCACGACTGTGGAAGCTTCTGCGGGGTCTTCCAGCCTCGAAAGCACCGCGCTGCGGGGCCTTGGAGAGTGACTTTGTCACTGAAGTCTGGCTCGTAGCGCAGACGACGCAGTCGCTTGCGACTGAGAGGCGCTGCCTGGAGTGCTGCTGCGCATTGGTCTGCCGCGAGGGAGACCCAGACCGAACTCAACTGAGTGGTGTAGGCGCTTTCTAGGGAAGTGGACCACACTGTGGAACCATCCACCGAGGCTCTGCCCCATGGCAGGTGCTTGTGGCCTCCGTCGCAGTCCCTGCTTAGACCTGCGAACCAATCCAAATTGGAGAGGATTGCGGTACGCTTGCGGCGCATGCTGCCGAACATGCACGCGTCAAACTCTACTCTGTGAGCTGACCGCAAGGCCTCTCTGAGGCAGGGCATCCTCCACAGGAGGCTACGAGCTGGATTTTCTATGGACCAGCAAACGCCGCGCTGAGACAGGGAGTGGCAACACTGTGCCATGAAAGCGACTAGGCTGTTCGCGCTGCGAACTCGCGCTGCGTCGGCTCCTTTGAGGCCTTTAAGGCCCGCTGGGCGCGCTTCGCTGCGCAAAGGGCCCGGAGCTCCCGGCCTGGGAATCTCTCTAGCTCTGCTAAAGGTGCCACACGGCGGGGCCCAGTGGACCCATCTCAGGTCTTGGTGTGAGAGCACTGCTCTCAGCAAGTTGCGACCCAACTGGGTGCAAAGGTCGAGCTGAAGGACCTTGAGGCCTCTGGCCTTGGTCTTGTGATCCACGGCGACGTTCGAGAAGCCTTTCTCGATGGCTGCCTTACTTAAGGCGACCGAGGCCGCAGAAAACTTCCACAAAAAGCGGCGGCCGAGGGGTCGCTTGCGAAGCTGGCTCGGGAAGAGGAACGCTCGGAGCGTTGTCTGCCAGCACGCTGTGCTGTTCGGACAAAAGGAGCACTGGGGGCTCTGCGTTCGCCGCGGGCGCGGCGTCATGCGACGGCGCAGCAGTGGCACGTCCTGGCTTACTTGTTGCAGGCGGGTGCAGCGGCGGTGCCGAGGCGGGAGGGTCAGGGCTCTGCCCTGAGCGTGGAGCGGTGGCGGAAGAGCCCAGCGCTGCTGGGAAAAGAGCTGCAGGCCCAGTGGCTGAGGGCTGTTGCGGCTCTGCCGCGCTCGGGGCAAGGGTGCCTAGTCAGGCGGCCCCTGCGTTCTTGGGGCAATCTGCGGCTCCGTGGTCGGTGCTGCCGCAGCTCATGCACTGGTGCAACCCCCTGTCGCACTGCTTGGGGGAGCCGGAGGTCTCGAGGTCGCACCCGCACTGCAGGTTGAAGCCGTAGCAGAGGCGCTTGCCGGACTTTGAAACACTGTTCAAGTGGCGAAGCTCTTTGGGCATGCTCGGCGGCCTGGAGCGGTCTGCGCTCTCGTGGCGCTTGCCCTTGCCCTTTCCGCGGCCTTTCTTGCCGCCTTTCTTGCCTTTGCCGGTCGTGCTACGACTGCGGTCTTCTTCGCTGCGCGCCGAGCTGCGGCCCTTGCCCTTGCGACCCCTGTCCGCCACTGGCGAGGGGAGCAGGTGCAGCGTGACAATCGGATCGGACCACATGTTCTCTACTAGAGAATCTAGTGGCCTCTTACCATCCTTGTCCGGTTTGCACCCCTTGCGACACTCTCGCGCGAGCAGCGTCCACAGTTCTTTGTCGGCCCGTACTACGTGCCAGCTGTTGCCGCGTTCCATCCCCGGCGGCGCTGGCCGGTTCAGGACGGAGAAGAACTGTCTCACGAGTCTCTCGTGAATTGTGAAATCCAACACGCCGACTCTGTCGAGCGCGAGACCTCTGCGCGTTAGCGCCTGCGTGAGCTTTAGCTCATTGCCGATCTCCACGTGCACGCTGTGCTCCTTTTTCTTTACCGTGATCTCCCCAGACTCTAGGGAGAGGAAGTCCTTGTCACGCCTCACTGAGGCGATCTCAGCATCCCGGCTGACGCACTGCGACGGTGGGATGTAACGGACGATGCCGTCCTGCAGCATGAGCGCGGCCTTGTCCACGAGG